ATGAGCACTTTACTCGAAACAGCAGAGGCACCGCAGAAGCGCCTTCGCGGACAGCCTCTGATTTACAGTAGCCCGGGACATTCAGCGCGGATATCAGTGATATTTTATTATACTTACTTCTATTTTATTTACTTTGTTCCGGGGGCTCTGCTGTTTTCTCAGAGGAGCTTTTATTTTGAAAAACTAGAACCTTTTAAGCTTTTTTTTATATTGATTCATTTCTCCGGGGGAAGCTGTGTAAGCTCTGAAACTTCAACCTTTAAGCAAAGGAAAATAGGAAAAACAAACAAACAAAAAAAAAACCCGGACACAGAATGTTCGGGCTTTGACTCGGGTTAGTTAGGTTAGCTAGTGGAACTCGTTCGCGCACATACAGCCCAGCGACTAGAAAGTTGCTGAAAACAGAAGAAAAAACGGCCTCAAAATACGGGAAGCACAGGTGACCGAGGGCTCTCTGTTGTTGGAGAACATGGAAGCAGCAAAGGCTGGTAAGAAATCAGCATTTACCCTTTCATTTTCTTCATTTTTCTGTATTCGTATTCGCTGCTTGTTTTTCGAATTTTTCCGTTCCACCTTAAATGGTGCAGCAGTTCCATTCTGGCGTTTGAGAATGCCTCAGGCACCAGAGCGTAACTGCTGCACCGTTTAAGGTGGAACGGAAAAATTCGAAAAACAAGCAGGCGAATGAGAAACCCAGTTTCACCCTCGTCTACAAAATACATCGCTGCGTTTAAAAGCTCTTTTTCGGCCCGGTTGACGGTTCGGCTCGCTAATACTGCGACCCTAAAACCGAAACTGGGTTAAGAGTGTCGGGGGGAGCTGCTGTTACAACACAGACATCCGCAGCTCCCCGAATTCACATGGACCGGCCAGCCTAGCCATGTGCCTCTGTGTTTACGCTCCCCGTGCGTGCGCGCTGATTGGCTGAGCGGCGCCGTGACGCGGCTGTTGCATAATTTGGCCCCGAGAGGTGGTGCGGCGGTGAGCCGCGGATACACGTGAGGCGAGTACGGGCTGCTCGCGCTCTGACCTACTTTCCGCGCGCCGAGGGGGCGTGTTTAGGAAAGAAAAGCCTTCGGTGAACGCGAGACAGTCTACCGAGCATCGGGCCCCGTGCATCGACTTAGTTTATGTATTTATGCAAAATTATGCGTAGAAACGTCATTTCAAACCCGGCCCCTTTTTCCCAGACCGTGGAAATTTCTAGAAACCATGACTGTGTGTTCATATATATATATATGTGTATGTGTATATGTGTATATATATATATATATATATATGCCTGAAGTTTTTTTTAAAAAGACTTACACTCTTAAAAATGGTTCTGCACGGGTTCTTTAGTAAAGGCAATGGTTCTATTTAGAACCCATGAGTTCTAGATAGGACCGTTTGCATGCTTAACTCGTTCTCTCCATGGTGAAATAGTTCTTCAGATGGATAGAGAATGTGCTGTATATAGTTTCCTATAGAACCATTTTGAAAAAGCATCAAAAAAGGTTCTGCTATTATTACAAGCTTGACATTATAACAGTAGCAAAACCTTTTTTTGGTGCTATATAGAACCACGCAATATATCCATAAGTCTTAAGACCCATTTCACCATGCAAAGAACCATTTAAGCCTGCAAATGGTTGTATATAGAAGCAGAACCATTGGCTTTACCGAAGGAACCTTAAAGAACCATCTTTTTTCAGTATGTGCTGAAATACAGGTTGGATTATGTAAAAGATTACACTGATATGCATGGAGTATTTTAAATGTTAAAGCATATCCAGCACATAAATATGTTTTTTTTATGCAGTGATTTGACAGTACAGTATTGAAGTGTAGCTTGAGAATCTTATGCATGTAATACTAATGGTTATCACATCATTAGTGTTAATGATGGAAGTGTTTCGTCACCGTCTGAAGAAAAACATCACTAGAAAAGCAGCTTTACAGGAGACGTTCTTAGCTTTTAATGCAAGTTAACGTAGAGAGGTTTTAAACCAGGAGCATTTCTGTTGGTCCATTCATCGTGAAAGGACAGCCACTGCGTTCAAATGACGTAGGAAAAATAAAAATCGACGAAAGTGGAGAAACATGTTTGGGTTTTTTTTTGTGATGATGTGTACAGTGTGTGTGTGTGTGTGTGTGTGTGTGTGTGTGTGTGTGTGTGTGTGTGTGTGTGTGTGTTCAGGCGAACCTGTTGAACTCTGTTGATCTGTCTTTTCTGTCTTGCTGATCTGACATACATATTTTTCCAGGAATTTCCCTATTAAAGTTCTCACCACGTTAAAATAAAAGTACTTTTTCCCCCTCCTGTGCTTTGTTTGAGTCAAGTTACTGGTAGTGAGGGCAGCCTACACCCTTCTGAAACGGGCATTATGTAATGCTGTTACCTAACCATTGAGAGTGGAGGCAGAAATCAGGTCAAGCTCAGAGGAAAATAAAAGCTCCCTGCCGTCTGACTGGTCCTGTTTTTTTTCCTGGGAGGAGGGCGCTGTGACTTAAAAAATGGCACACAGGGGAGGGGCTTAAACCATGGCAAAAGGGATTTATTTATTTATTTATTTATGTATTTATTGATTGCAGAATAGGCATTTTCATGCATTTGTTGATCACTGTAAAGCCCTGCATTAGGATCAGTTTAATTATTTTATTTGAAATTCATTTTAAAAATAGCCCTGCAGCAGTGCAGTTCAGGTTCTGATGAGGATTAAAGGGACGTGCATGTACTGATTTATCGTTCTCTTCTGTTAAAGTATATCCAGTGCCTTGAAACTAAACACTATCATAGTCTAAACTACGTATTTATTGTTTTTTTGTGTCTTTACTATACAGTACAAGTTGTAGGTTGATCTAACTGCAACCATTATTGCCTTAATTAATGTTAAGAACGGACGTACACTGTGCCCGAACCTGTTGAACATGCATGGCTGACTTTTTAATCATTTATTGATTTATTTATTTATTTATTTTTCTGAACTGAATTCCTTCCGCCGCACGTTGTTGCTCATGTGTTTCCTCTGTGCGTGTACCTCAGGATTTAAAGGGTCATGATGTGCAAAAATAAGCCTGTCTGTGTTCTGAAGAGCTCCTTTCCCCACTGACCCAGCTGTTCCCCCTGTGCTCCACTAGGGGGGGTAATAGCCTACATCAGCTCGTCGAGCTCAGCCTCCAGCCCAGAGTCGTGCCACAGCGACTGCTCCAACAGCAGCTACCAGTCGTCCTCCCCGCCCCGCGCCAGCTCCCCCGGCCGCCGCGAGGGTCAGCAGGGGGACGCCCCCGCCCACGCCCGGCCGCAGAGCCACGGCTCGGGGAAGACGCGCTCGCCCTCGGCCAACAAGAGTGGCATCACGAGTAAGTTTCAGGGGAACGTTTGGGTGTTTGGCTTGATGGGGGTTCTCAGCCACACCCCAGCACACATTCTGAAGGGCATGGGCGACATGCTGTCTGTGTATGACGTTTAGACAATATTTTTAGTTCTATATTTCATAGATAATAAGTTATATCCATAGAATAATGCCAGTAAAATAGCAGTATGCCTGTTATTGGAAGAGTTGTTGGTTATTAATTTTATTATTATTTTGTGCATTTAATTCATGATATCCAGGACAGTTAACTGCACTGTGTGGAAAAAAAAGATTAATTTTTAATTAATTGTATATTAATTAAAAAATTAATATACATGCAGATTAAATAGATGAATGAATAAAATATAAATTAAAGGGCCTTTAATATGGAAAAACCCAGACAGTCCATATATCAAACCTGCTCAACACTAGACTTCATAATTACCTGATTGTGGTTAACCAGCACACAGTGAACAACCCCCAGTGCAGTGTTTCTCAACTTTATAAAATCTTTCTACTTTATAAAAGTCTAAAACAGATCTATAGTAGAACAAGTGATTATAGTAACAAGCCGTCCACAGTTCTGCACCAAATACGCAGCTTAAGAGCACTTAGGTTAAGATATTTTACATTCTGTACCTTTAGGATAGGTTTTTAAAACAAGCTGAGCCTAAATTTCTCCTAATTTTAATTTTAAAGAGTTTTTCTCCATTTAGTACAGAGACCTGCTGGTGACGTCCCATTTAAACAAAAATAATACATGACCACACCTTATTAATGTGTGGAAACGAGATCCTAATGCGTGGCCACAACTTAGTAAGGCATGAGAATGAGATAATTAAGTTGTGGCCACAACTTAGTAAGGCATGAGAATAAGAATAAAGTCGTGGCCATGAATTTGTAAAGCATGGGAACAAGATAATTAAGTTGTGGCCATGACTTAGGCATGAGAATGAGATAATTAAGTCATGGCCATGATTTAGTAAGGCATGAGAACAAGATAACTAAGTTGTGACCACGACTTAGTAAGGTTTGAGAATGAGATAATTAAGCCATGGCCATGACTTACTAAGGCATGGGAACAACATAATTAAGTTTGTGGCCACGACCTAGTAGGGCTTGAGAATGAGATAATTAAATCATGGCCACGACTTAGTAAGGCATGGCAATAAGATAATTAAGTTGCGGCGACAACTTAATAAGGCCTGAGAATGAGATAATTTAATCATGGCCTTAGTAAGTCATGGGAATGAGATAATTAAGTTGTGGCCACGACTTAGTAAGGCATGAGAATGAGATAATTAAGTTGTGGCCACGACTTAGTAAGGCGTGTGAACAAGGTCATGTCGTGGCCATGCATTAGGATCTCATTCCCATGCCGTAGTAAGTCGTAATCACAACTTAATTATCTTGTTCCCATGCCTTACTAAGTCGTGGCCACGCATTATTTTTATTTATACAGGACGTCACCAGCGGGGCTCCGTAGCTTCTCAGTCTTCTTATGTCGTTCTCGACTTTCTCTCTTCACTTTCAATCGCACATTAAAATTACTTATTTATAATTGATTAATTATTGTAATAAATGAATGATTGATTTATTGATTGATTGATTGATTGATTGATCCAGTCATGTTTCAGTTGCACATTAATCCTGTTTTTTTAAACCAGTCCAAAATTAGCGGGAATAATTGTGGGAGTGAGGCATTGTTGTATTTTTTATATATTTGTATTTCATGCTTGAAAAATGATTTTAATTTAATTTAAAAATGCCTTTATTTTCTCCCCTTCATCTTTGAAATGCTTTGAATCGTGCAGAGTGTGGGACAAACCTTCATTTTGCAGGGCAAGTGAGGACACTGGCCACCTGGTACAGGTGTGGTGGGAGCTAAGATAGACCAAACACATGGACGCTGAGGGCTGTGTGGAGAAGCACTGTCCTGATGATTGTACACTGAATTAATGTAGAACTTAAGTCAGAAGAGCAGATACAGATACAAATTCACAGTTTGGGAGTCGTACGTGTTACGCTTACATAAGTACGTGATTCTAGGGCACTTCATCTTCGAATGAGATCAATAAAAGTTTCGCTGTGACTGGTTCCCACTGTAGTCACCACTTTGTTAAACGACTTGGTGGATGTAGTAGATCTTTGATTACTCACTGTCACAAGCTCTGTTCAAACAGAACCTTTGCCCTGACCTCAATATGGATTATAAATCTGCACAATTAAATATAGATATCATGTCATTTCGCAACCAGAAAGTACACGTTGTACTAAGAAATCATTTTATAAGTGTAGTGCAGCATCGGGCAGGTCTTGCCTGTTTGGTGCGGAGCCAGGGTTTCTGTGCCGGACGCAGGTGGCACTAAAACTATCCAAATATTGACTATCACAGTGAATGTAAAATAATAAAAAAGATATCAGCTTCCTTGCCCTCCTGACCTATTTTATTCTCTTTTTCTTTTTTATGCAGAGATCAGTGGCCTGGTGCTGCTGTGTAAAGTATGTGGAGATGTGGCTTCAGGATTCCATTATGGTGTCCACGCCTGCGAAGGCTGCAAGGTGAGAAAATACATACGATGCTTCAGAATCAGAGTCAGGATTTAGGCTCAGTCCCATTTCTTATTTTTACCCCTACCCCTTGTTTTTGAGTGTCACCTTGCCCCTTTGAACTGAGTTACAAGGGGTAGTGGTTGAAATCTTCCCTCTGAAATGGGACCCTCAAATAAAAAGAGCATCACTTCATTAACAGCTACAAGCGCTGCTCTGTAGGCGACCCTGCCAGTCTGCAGTGACAGCAGAGGAGGGTAAAGTTCAGCTCCTCACTGCTGGGCTTTAGTTACATTTAGGACGCAATATGCCTTCAAAAATGGGCAATTATCTATTATAAAACCGGTCCTAAAGTCTGATTGACTGTGCCGCCTTTGAAGCTGTTGTAAAATCCACGATATACCCACACCTGTGACCGCCTTACAGCGACTGATTTGTGTATCACTGCACCACAGCACGGAAAACCCTTCCGCTGTTAATGAACAGTCTTTGACTCTGATGCTGCTCGCATGGACTACTGGGTATATTAATGAAGTAAGAACCCGTTTTTTGTTTTGGCAACTTGTGTTCTTAACTAGAACCAGGCTGGTCAGCTTACTAACAGGCTAAAAGATAGCAAACATGCTAAACAACTCCATCATTAATATCACAGGCTTGAATTAAAGTACTTACAGTATGATTAACTAAAACTGCAGTATAAAAGCCTAAAAAATGTCACCTGAATGTCTCACACACTTCAAATGATCTTGTTTCAGTCAGAAGTCGCGTCAAACCCAGGCTGAATCCCAAACGGCTCCGTACTCCCTAAATAGTGTTCTAGCTATGAAAGTTTAGAAGTTGTAGCCTCTACAGCCGAACAGGGCATCATTTATCGAGTGTGGATGTGTCTGAGTCCCAAATGACTGTTTCTTAGCTGTATTTTGCTCTGTTGGGCTGCAGGATTCAGTATTTAAAGTCCTACGTAGTGCACTATGTAGGGAGCAGGGAGCTGTTTGAGATCCAGTCCCAGCGTGAGAAGAGGAGCCGCTGGTTTGGTGCTAAATAAGACTCGTGGTGGTAATTTGGTGACCAAAAAGTACTTATAAAGCGAAGGTTTTTGCAATAAATAGTGCTGTGTTAGATGTCCATTGTTATATGACAAAAAGTTAAAAATTCATGAAATTACCGCAGTGTACAGCGACGGGCGACTGAGCGTTCTCCTCATGCAGTGGTTGCTTGACAACGATACCGTACTCTTAAAGAACTACATTTCTTGGCTGAGCACTTGTTAAACAAATATAAAATGTGCCGTGACTTTTGCACATTTTATTTTTTTCTGATATGTTAAATAAACAGTGATTTTGCATTATAATGTGGAGATGTGTGTCTCTGTAGAGGATGTGTTCATTTATTTACACTTAGAAAATCAACTCGACATAAAATTTGACTTGGGGTGTCCAAATGTAAATGTGCTCTGTTCTGATTGGCTGTGCTTCATTAAAAAACAGCAGTCCAAGCTGAAGCACTCCTTAACTTCAGTTTGATTGGGCAGGGCTGAACTTCTGTGGGCTGAATAGGTGGGTATATTGAAATACTTGTTTTTTGTGACGTCAAAAGGAGATTAATTACATTTAATGTATCTAATTGCATCATTTACAACAGATTAAATTACATTTATTACATTTGCAACAACTATTTTAAGATATGGACCCTTTAAAGTAGCTGAATTCACTAACTAGAAGGGCGACCTGACACGTCTGGACAATCTTAGTGCTCTTGGTTTTGGTCAGAAGTGTTTTTTCCTACTTTTTTATTCTTAAAAAAGCTCAGTGGGGCAGAAGTTTCATAAACACCTTCAAGAGACATTAAATAACATTGACGTTTTCCTCAAAAAAAGCTCCCAGCAGGGGCAGCGTGTCTCTAAATAGAGTAAGGAGATCTCAACACGCGTTTGAGCTGTTCTCTCGTTCACGGCTGGGTCGATGTGACTTGGTGTTTTTAGCCTGTTCAGATTAGGTGAGCCTGCTTCTGGCGCCGCCTCCTGCTCTAATAAAGCCCAAACAGGACGTGCTGATTCGCCTCGAAGTGCTTTGACCCTGTTTTATGCCATCAGAGACAAAATGGAGTTCTGAGCACCTGTTCTTCTCGCTGACCCCTCAGCCCTCCACCTGTTATTGTCAGTCTGCTCAGTCACCCTAATGATGGTCCTGTCGTTCCGGTTCCCGCTGACACTTTCATTTTCTCTCTGTTCTGCTCTGCTTTCTTTTCAGGGCTTCTTCCGGAGGAGCATCCAGCAGAACATCCAGTACAAGAAGTGCCTTAAGAACGAGAACTGCCCCATCATGCGCATCAACAGGAACCGGTGCCAGCAGTGCCGCTTTAAGAAGTGTCTGCTGGTCGGCATGTCTAGAGATGGTGAGGCTTCGCTGGGTTTATTTTTGTTTTTTTGTTGTTTTTACGCTTTTCTTTTAGGCTGGAACCACACTACACATTTTTTTGCCCGATTTTAAGCCCAGTTTTCCCCTTGCAACACATTTTCACAATCCGAAGCGATTTTCCAGGTCGAAGGAAGCCCGATCAGAAGTGGCTGACGGCGCGGTAGTCAATCTGGTAGTGTGAGCGAAGAAACGAGTGAATATTTAAACACTCAGCCCATGATAGACAGATATAAAAATGTGCAGTTAAGGCTGAACTGATTATCATCAATATTGACAATTCATTGACAAATATTTCTGTTATTAATATTTAGTTCATATTTTCAAAGTGACGTCCAACCTACAGTGAGCTAACGACTCAACCTAAAGGGGGCAGCAGTTCACTTACAGTGTCGCACCTCTGTGAGAAGACAGGGAAGGAAAAAGTACAGTTATGATTAAAAGTTACAGAAGGAGAAAAGTCTGATTTGTCTGAATGGGTGATTTGTCTGAATGAGCTAACGTTCTACTTAGAAACATCCCTAAAACTCATCATGTTACATCATAGTCAATCGAATATTCTAATCAGCATCAGTTTCTGGTAATTAGAAGTATTTTGCAGCTACTTCAAAACACTGTTGAATATTCAGCAGCTTGTCCTGCTTAATTAGCATAAATACAGCTGTAAACTGTAAACATAATTCCACCTGAAAACAAAATGCAATCTGCTCGTCCAGGAAAGCTTCATGTGGAGCTCGTCCAGTAAACCAGCACATTAAAATGTTAAACCGGTTAGCCTGAAGAGCTGCAAGATTGATCTGTATATTTATTACATCATCACATATTTTTAGCTATCGCTTATTGATCACAGTAGCTCAGAATTATGAACTTGATGAAAGTGTTACTCAGACTGATGGAGAACGTGCTGTAGATGGTTCTATATAGAACCATTTTGAAAAGCGTGCTATATAACAACCAAAAGGATTCCTTCTATTGTTACAATGTCAGGCTTGTAACAGTAGAAGAACCATTTTGGGTGCTACATGGAACCTTTTTGAAAAAGGTTCCATATAGAAGAATTTGTAGCCTGTCAATGACAATTTCCATCAATCTGAAGAACCCTTTAGCCATGCAAAGAACGCTTTAATCATGCAAAGGGTTTTTTGAGTGTTCATGGTTCTATATAGAACTGTTTTCGGTAACACTTTCTATGAATGTCACCTTTGTAAGCATCTATAAACACATTCATAACATGTTATAATGCATACATAAGGCATTATAAACTTGGCTATAAATATTTATAAAAATGCATTACATGTTATAGCCATGTTTATTATGCATTATGAATTGTTAACATAATGTAACATAAGTACTGATCATAACAAATTATAATAGCTCATAAGTTGTATTTGTCTGCTCTAAGTAAAGTGAAGCGTACTGTACTAAAGCCTCCTCCAGTGTTCAGAGTGAGGCTTCAAGTTGAAGTATTTACTGAAGGATTTACTGAAACACGAAAACATTCACAGTAAACCACTTTACAGGCTTCAAATGTCAGAGTTTAAACTAGTGCTGCCATCAGTGTTTTACCCAGTGTGGGAAAGGTAATGTTCACCACCGTTAGCTTGGTATTTGTCTTTACTTTACGATCTCCAAGCTGGGACTGACTTCTTTGGCACTGACAGTATAACATGTTATTAACACTATTTATAATGCATTATGTTAACAATTCATAATGTATAATAAACATGGCTATAAAGTGTAATCCAGTGTAATTCATTTTTATAAATGTTTATAATCATGTTTATAATGCCGTATGAAGGCATTATAACATGTTATAAATGTGTTTATAGATGCTTGCAAACGTGACATTCATAGAAAGTGTTACCCCATTTTCTTTACTGAAGAACTCTTGAAGAACCATCATTTTTTAAGAGTGTATTTTATTTTCTTTCATGATTATTCGCTTCTTTTTTATTGTCTGCGCTGCTACTAATGATCTGATTTGAGTAAATTAGTTCCGTGTACAACCAAACAGGCTCTGGATCTCATGCAGGAGGCGAAAAATAGCTTAAAAAGAAAGAGTAGTTGTGGAAATTTGTGAATGTGTGAAAGTTCAGCTGGTCTGGTGGTTTGTTAAAAGAGAAAAAAATCCAGAAAAACACTTAATGCTCCCTTTTCAGTGGCCAGAAATTAAAGTATGGTGGTCAGGCAATGTCGTCCCACCACTCATCTCCTTGTTGAAGTCCCTGCCCCACTTACTGCAGGATAGGCTTGGGTTATGATGCTTAAATAGGTTATGGATGTTTTAAATGAAACTGAATGAAGGCCATAAAACATTTCCTTAATTTACACAATGTTGTAAACATACAGGGTTTTTCTGCGAACTCTCCCGAGGAAGCAGACTTTGTCCTTGATTACAGTTATGTAACATTTATTTTTTTTCTGTCTTCCTGCTTCACCCCAGCTTCTAAACAGTTGGGTTATTCTCATGAACATGACAAATACTGTGATCCAACTTTAAAAAAAAATACTAAAACATAATGTTTTCCTTTTTTTGGATAAATAAACAGTGATGCCTTTTTGAGTGATTATAAATAAACCTGAATGATTTCATTTATTTTAAACAGATTTTTAGTAGCATTTACCGGTTTAGGTGATCAGATTCTCATCACCGCAACAAAACACAGTAAAGTTTGAAGATAAATCTGTGAATAAGATTTTTGACAGCTTTTTATTTCACAGTTAGGCTAAAGATTTTAAAGCTAATTATGGAAGTTTATATATTTTGCGAAATACAGTATTTTGTAATTTTATCTTTTTTTAAATTAATTTAGAAACAAGAAAAATGTTAGAGAGATTTCACAATTAAAAGCAATACAAGCAAGTCTCTCTTGTTGTAATGAGAAATAAGGTAGATTTACATTTGATCTACTAAACTGAATGAATATTGATTACCTCTGTGATGCTTTTGACACTCAAATATTTATGGACATGGTTTGAGCTGGTTTCATGAGGTTTTGTGAGAATGACCCAGTTGAAATATATGTGATACACTCTGTGGTAGACTTGAAGGTGGGCAATATTACAATATTTTATAATTAATAAATTTTGTTAATGTTCTGAACAGTATGTTTTTCTGACCATAGCGTGGATATCTGTACTGAAACACTTATTTTAATAAAAAGAGAGCATAAATAGGCCTGTTCAGTGCAGAAAGAGTTACTAATGGCAGTTTTTAAATGTTGCACTGTGCCAGTGTGTCAGTAAATCATGATATGCATCATTTATTGTGAAAATATCTGGATATTTTTGCCATATGGCCCACCCCTATGTGGACTCTTTTGTATTGAAAAGGGAGAGTAAGTTTGAGTTTGACTGTTTGCCCCCACCCCCCACCCCCCCCAACAGCTGTGCGTTTTGGCCGAATCCCCAAGAGGGAGAAGCAGCGCATGCTGCTGGAGATGCAGAGTGCCATGAACAACATGATGAACACCAGCCAGCTCCACAGCCATCTGCACGGCAACCAGCCGCTGATGCTTAGCAACAAGACCCCGTCCTCTCTGCCCAAGCCTGCCTCCGAGGACCCGGGCCCTTCCCCCGCCTCCTCCCCCCGAAGCAGCCAGTCCGAGTCCAGCACTGACCCGGAGCCCCTGGTTGCCATGGACACCAGCCCGAGCTCTGACTCCTCCAGCGCCACAGACAGCGGCGAGGAAGAGGTCGTCGGCACGGTGACCAGGGCCCACCAGGAGACCTTCATGTATAACCAGGAGCAGGGCGAGGCCCCCCGCTCCCCCACCGTCGCCGAGCGCATCAGCAACGACAGCCGCCGCATGGAGGAGACGCAGGAGGCCTGGAACCACTGCAACAACGTCGCCACGGTAACGGGCCAGCTCCCACCTTCGGACTTCGCTCCTCAGGGTGCCGAAGAATCCCAGCGAGAGGACCGTTCTCGCAGTCACTGCCCTGTTAGAGTGGTCAACAGCGCCCCCGGTGGTGGCCACTGCCCGGTCAGACTGCCCAGCAGTGACCACTGCTCTGCCTCTGTGATTGGCCACTCAATGCAGGGGGGGTGCAATGCCAATGAAACACTAGCCAATGGCAGCTATAGTGGTCCAGCGTGGAGTGGAGGCAATAGGATGCACCTGGTGAGTGACGTGTTTTAACAGTCAGACTAGGAAAAAAACATACAAATACAGCTGTATGCAAAAGTTTGAACACCCCTGGTTAAGTCTTGTTGAAGTGAAAATAAGCTAACACACTTAAATATGACTATTCTGCTAATTTTAGTGCACGATTTATACCTATTTGCTGAAAAATTAAACAAAAAATGTCCCGTAACTTTTGCACAAGCCACATTTTATGTTTTCTTCTTAACCCCTAGAACCCGAAGCCCACGTTTTGCCTGCAGAGCTGGGGAAGGGGGGAAAAAATGCGACAAAAGGCGTCAAAATGCAGTGTTTCATACCACTGCACTGAGTTTCCCTCTTTCCCTCAAAATCTCACAAATAGGCCCTGAAACACATTTTAACAGACAAATATCAATAATTATGATCAATAGTATTATACAATTTAATAATATTTAGCTCTGTCTTAAGTTTACATTGATTTTGAGTATTAAAAATATCTGAAATTAAATATGCAGCTCAATTTATAATTAAAAGTAAAGGCTGCCTTGCTGTATATCAGAGTTTTAGCACTCAGCACGAATCCAAGAGGACAGAAAATCAATAAAAACTTGGCCGCTTTATGCTAATTGTTTATTTTCACTCAATAATAACCAATAGAATCAACCACCGTCAAAATTATTGCACTTTCAGCTTACAGACACTCCAGACAAAAGGTGTCTGAGGTGCAACTTGTTTTCAAGATGTCAATAAGCAAAAATTTACTAAATTTTGCAGCCTCTAGATAATTCTTTGATCAAAAACGAGCCAAATTTATAAAGATATAAAATTTCTGTTAGCATTTACATGTCAAATAATGACATGTCTGAGTAGCCCAGGGTCCCCTGTGACTGTTTCATGTAAATACTTTAGAATTGCAATTGTAATTGACCCAAAATACCAGAAAATCCCCCCAAAATTCCCCCAAAAGGGATCCTAAGGGTTAAGGGTTGTAAGGGTTAATTCCAATATGTTAAATCAGCAGTTAACCCATAATTGTGCCTTTAAATGTGCAGATGTCTGTTTTCTGTAGAGGATGTCTTACTAACTTATTTTCACTTAGAAAATCAGCAAAAACTTATTTGACCAGCGGCGTCCAAACCTTTTCATACTCTACATACAGCTTAGCGTCTGAAACGTAAAATCCTTCTCGATGTGAATACTAGAGCGCTGAGTCCTGATGTTCAAAACACCCGTTGCTCCCTTTTCTCAGGTGTGTCCCATGAACACTTCACCCTATGTGGACCCTCGTAAGTCAGGCCACACTATCTGGGAGGAGTTCTCCATGAGCTTCACTCCGGCCGTCAGGGAGGTGGTGGAGTTTGCCAAGCGCATTCCGGGCTTCAGGGAGCTCTCCCAGCACGACCAGGTCAGCCTGCTGAAGGCTGGAACGTTTGAGGTATGGACCTTCAACCACTTTCTGTAAACGTCCAATCAAGTCTGTTCATAAACACAGTGTGGAGGACCTCTGCAGCGCAGAGTGCAGTGTTTATCCTGACACGCATGGCAGACTGTAATTAGCTCTGGAGATCTTTGATCAAGGAAACAAAGAACAAAGAATATCTTATATAAGATAGAAAGAGAAACCACAGTCATGCTGTAGTGAGTGTTTCTCTGAGCAGAAATCCACTTCAGTTAAATTTTTCGCAAATGTATGCTGCTTCTTAAAGGGTCAGTATTATGGAAAACTGAAAAAAAAGTAAATATAAATAACTTGTATAATATACACCGATCAGGCATAGCATTATGACCACCTCTTTGTTTTTCCGCTCATTGTCCATTTTATCAGCTCCACTTACTATATAGGGTCACTTTGTAGTTCTACAGTTACAGACTGTAGTCCATCTGTTTCTCTGATACTTTGTTAGCCCCCTTTTACCCTGTTCTTCAGTGGTCAGGACCCCCATGGACCCTCACAGAGCAGGTACTGTTTGGGTGATGGATCATTCTCAGCATTGCAGTAACAGTGACGTGGTGGTGGTGTGTTAGTGTGTGCTGTGCTGGTCTGAGTGGATCAGACACAGCAGTGCTGCTGGAGTTTTTAAACACCTCAGTGTCACTGCTGGACTGAGAATAGTCCACCAACTAAACATATCCAGCCAACAGTGTCCTGTGGGCAGCGTCCTGTGACCACTGATGAAGGACTAGAGGATGACCAACACAAACTGTGCAGCAGCAGATGAGCTATCGTCTCTGACTTTACATCTACAAGGTGGACTGACAAGGTAGGAGTGTCTAATAGAGTGGACAGTGAGTGGACACAGTGTTTAAAAACTCCAGCAGCACTGCTGTGTCTGATCCACTCGTACCAGCACAACACACACTAACACACCACCACCACGTCAGTGTTACTGCAGTGCTGAGAATGACCCACCACACAAATAGTACCTGCTCTGTGAGGGTCCATGGGGGTCCTGACCACTGAAGAACAGGGTAAAAGGGGGCTAACAAAGTATGCAGAGAAACAGATGGACTACAGTCTGTAGTGGAGCTGTTAAAATGGACAATGAGTGTAGAAACAAGGAGGTGGTCATAATGTTATGCCTGATTGGTGTATGTAGTATAAACATTGCTAAACTTTCAAAACATACTGCTCACTCATTAGTCTATATATCATCACTGTCGGAACCAAAGCTCATATATCCAAAATGGTAATTTTACAGGAGAAGGAAAAAACATACTTTACTTTTAATGTAAGTTAATGGAACCAGACATTTATCCAAGTAATTCTGGGCCATTTCTTTTGGTTCATTCACCATGAAATTTATCCACAATGTAAAGGGCAACAGTTGTTTTCAAATTATGTCAGAAACACACACACAAGGTTTTATTCTGACAGGAGCGATATGGAAACTAAGCTGCAAAACCAGCCTGTTTCTGTGATATCACAATAACCAACACATCAAATTAAATCACGTTTTTTGTCACATCAGCATGTACACTGGTGTGCAGGTGAGTAAAAATCTTAAAATAAAAATATACAAAATATACAAAATATAAACACATTAATATACACTAGTATGTTTTTATAGTAAGTTATGAAATAAAAAGCTATGATGTGTACAAATGTACACATTTCGGTATATGCAGTCTGGTGAGTCTGAGGTATATAAGAAGAGATGCAGGATATATATTTACATATATCCACATCTTCAGCCTAAATCAGTTTAGCTCCGCCCATTCACACTGAAGTTAAACAGAGTGTTTAGGACCTGAGTGCTTTTTGAATGAATGCCCAGCCAATCAGAACCCATTTACGAATATCAGGGTTAAAGGCAGACAGACAAAAACAGCCTGTTTAATTCTAATGGATAAAGAGAGATTGTGGAAAATAGTTGTGTAAAAATGAATTATAACTGTTTTTGGTATGTAAAACAACACAAACATCATAAGTGGGGAACATGCAAGAAAAAATTGGATATAGGCATTTTAACATAACAGACTGTTTTTGGTGCTTAAAACCAGAGAACTTGTAGAGAGGAGAATCACCACTCTGTAATGTCTCCTGGGTTTATCAGACGCTAGGGGGCGCTCCTGAATGAGTCCAAAATGAATGGGTTAAGATGGAGCGTTTGAGCAAAATCATAGTTTATAAAGGCTTAAACATTTTTAATATAAAAGGATAAAATCATTTCCTGAACACTGAACAGCATAAAACATTTTAACACCACTGTTACATTTTTAAGAGCTTTTAAACTCGAGTTGTAGGAGTTTAAACCGGCGCCTCATGTACGTTCATCATGTCTGTGAGCACGAATAGCCAGTGAGCTGCTCTGCTCACCAACCAATCAGCACTCAGTAGCAGTAATGTTAGCGTCCTGCTGCCCGAAGCCCGTTTGCTGTAGAATAAAGGAAACATACAGAGTTTACTTTTTTAGTGAAATATGTCCGTCTACTGCCTAAAATTAAAGGAAAGTTCTGGTAAAGTGATTAGAAACTAACTTTATGATTTAGCTGTTGAGCTCCATTCACCCCCATTCTTTGAGGACTTGATTGCAGGCGCCCTCTGCTGTTTTGCAGGTCATGTTTATATAATGGGGGAAATAGGAAGTGGCCAGGCTCCTCATAAACCAGCTCTGCTTAAAACCACACTTAACACTTTAATTGGACCTCAGGGGAAGTAGATGTAAGATAAATGTAGGATACAGGTCAGTGTTTTCAGCAACACGGCCAATTTTGTTTCCAGATGAAGGTATAAAATCTTTTAAAATGCTTGTCCAGTGCAACTTCACACGCTTCAAAACATTATGTTAGATTATGTTGGAGAGCTGTACAATATCAACAATAACAAGTAGATAATTGCAGTATATTATTTATCATAATATGATATATAATATTATTTTTTGATATTTACTTTGTTCCCAAAATACTGAGAAAGTGAAATACTGAGTGAAACATCTTAAAAATGACTTTAGATGTTTATTTAATAACAGCTAAATGTATATTAAATAAGTTTTTGTGTAAAAGCTTCAAACTTTTAATATGAGAAGTGATTCCAGTGCATGATGTACTACGTATGATGCTCTGTGTTTCTGGACCAGGTGCTGGTGGTGCGCTTTGCATCCTTGTTCGACATGAAGGACCGCACGGTGACCTTTCTGAGCGGGCAGAAGTACAGTGTGGATGTGCTTCGCTCTATGGGTGCTGGTGATCTGCTCAACTCCATGTTCGACTTCAGCGAGAAGCTGAGTGCGCTGCACCTCAGCGAGGAGGAGATGAGCCTCTTCACCGCCGTCGTGCTCGTGTCTGCAGGTGTGCTTCACCTCTTCGCTGCTTGATTGGGGCTGAAATTGTGAAATTAATTTTTCTCTTTACTATTTTTAGTTTTTTAATGCAGCACGTAAGGGTTGTTAAAGTTTCACGGCCTTTTCGTGACGTCACTACAGCCAACATATTTACACCTGTCTATTCAGACCACAGCAGTTTAGCCCCGCCCATTCATGCTGAAGTTATAAGCACAGCCAATCAGAGCTTATTTGCATATCAGTCTTAAAGGCACAGTAGCAAAAACAGCCTGTTTAACTCTACAGGTTGGAAAGTTATCATGTAAATATTAATTTTGGTGCCTAAAACTGTAAAAATGTCATAAGTGGACGTTAGGGTGAAAAAACAAAATGCAAGAAAAATGTAGGGTATATAGTCTAGTCCGCCTACAGCAGTTTAGCCCCGCCCATTCACGCTGAAGTTAGAAGCACAGCCAGATCAGAGCTCATTAACATATCAGTCTTAAAGGCACAGTAGCAAAAACAGCTTTTTTTAATTCTAGAGGTTGGAAATTTGCAAATTTATTGATTAATTTTGGTGCCTAAAACTATAAAAATGTCGTAAGTGGACCTCAGGGGAAAACCCAAAATGCAAGAAAAATGTAGGATATGGGCTCTTTAATATCCGTAGATAGCATGTCGCTACAAAACCTTTTATCTCCATTTTTCAGATTTTGATGTATTTTGAAAATGCCTGTTGTTCTTTACATTGGATGTAAATTTCATGATAAATGGACCAAAAGAAACATCCCAAAACTTGGAAAAAAAATTGACTTACATTAAAACTAAAGTAGGTTTTTTCCTTTTCCTATAAAATTACAGTTTTGGAGATACGAGGTTTTGTTCTGACAGCGGCGATGTGCCAGTCTTTTTAGTCAACATCCATTTTCCAGTTAATAAGATCATGCATAGCCTTGAAAATGTAACCCGAAAATGTTTCCATCTTTCCAGACCGTTCGGGCCTGGAGAACGTGAACTCCGTGGAAGCTCTCCAGGAGACCCTGATCCGCGCGCTGCGCAGCCTCATCACCAAGAACCACCCCAACGAGATCGCCATCTTCACCAAGCTGCTGCTCAAGCTGCCTGACCTGCGCTCCCTCAACAACATGCATTCGGAGCAGCTCCTGGCCTTCAAGGTCCACCCGTGAGCTCTCGGAAACCTCCTCCTTCTCCTCCTCCTCCTCCCCCTACATTAACTGTGGACCATGCTCCCCTCTCGCCTCCAGAAGCTCCAGGCCCCGCCCTTTAGCACCACAACAAAGCCGGGGGCTCAACCAAAGCCCCATGAGGACTGAGGGGCCGATACAGAGGCAGGGGGGAGCAGCACCTTGAGTCGTCGTACTGTAAGCTGGAAAGGACTTGTGTGTTGTGATAATGTGCGCAGACTGAAACTGGGGCTTCGAACTGACGAGCAGTCGTCAGGTTTAGGTCAGGGGGCTGCGCTCTTTTTCCTCTTTTGGAGGCACCTACCTAGAGTCATACTGTTTAACTGTTTGTGCAATATGTGACCAATGTTGATTGTTCTTTTTTTTTTTTTTCTTTTGGTCTTTTTATGGTTTCAGAGTCTGTGGACGTAGGCACCAGGCGACAGCGTGCGCTGCCTGACAGAAACCTTTACATTTTTTTTTTATTTAGAGGAGGGCGGCGGCAGGATATCTCCATCCCTCCTCACTTAAGCTAAATAAAGGTAAAGGAAAGCTAGCAAGAGGAGCTTGGTTTGAACTCCTCTCTAATATAAAAAACAACTAAGTACCAGAGGAATGTGGAAGAAGCTGCTAATCAAAGCTTTCCAGCGTGACGGTGCTGCGCCCCTCTCTTCGAGCGCGGAAAGAGACGAGAACATTTTAACGGCTCAGAGTATAAATATATATATATATATATACATGCATATATATATTCAGAATGATTGTTTTCCCTCTTAATAATTTTAGCTGAGAAAAGGAGGACACTCTTAATTTTTAGTTTAGTATAATGGTGCAGCTGTGTCTTTGTTTTGTGAGTAGTAGGGCTGTATTTGGTAGTAACGGTCTGGCAGTGCTTCTACTGATTTAGAGATGAACTTGAGTAGGAGCTTTGCATGCACTGCCCACCATTTACTGACAAGACCCATTTAAAACATTTCTGGAAAAAAAAAAATACGGAAAAAAGTATGATTTCAAAATGATACCCGACGGTATCGGCTTGTAAGAGCGGTACTTATCGATGCTGATAATACTAGATTCTTGTCTCTTTTGGTGTGGGGTTGATTATCTACAGAAAAGGGGGGCAGCAGTCCTCTCCGGACGGCGTGATTTCATAGTGATTTCAGTCCGTCACGCTCACTGCATGTCCGGACCTACTTCAGTTTTGCTGTTTTGTTTTTCTTTTTTCTTCTTCTTCTTCTTCTTCTGGTCAAGTCTGTTCAATGAGAGTCCTTGTAGAGTTGTTTTTTTTCTTTTCTTTTGATCAGCAGCGCAATCAGTAAAGTGTGTTACACACGAGCATATCACAAGGCAGACAGAGAGGGAGCTCCGAGCCACCGCAGACTGACAGGAGCGTGCTGTATTAGGGCTGGCCCGTATGGCATTTCACAGGCTTTGAATACTTGTTGGTATTTCCGAATACTCGTTCTTGAAATCCCCCCTAAACTACAGTATTTACTTTTTATAATTAACCACAATTGAAAGTATGTTGATTACTGTAGTTCAGAGTGTACCCAGTAGGGGGCGCATTAATAGTGTTTACCAGTGTGGTGAAAACAGTTGACGCAAGTTGCAGGGTCAGCTTCTCACGACTGTAAATGAAAACGAAATATGCTGACGTCGTACCGACATTTGCTGCATGTTATTGTACTTTAATGCCGAATTCACACTAGAGTCACATTTAAGTGTCGCGCCCAGCCCATTCCGATTTAGCTGTGGTCATGTAAACACTTCAGGTGGGAATATCAGCTTTTATTTTATAACAAAACAGGTTTGTAACACAGTTAACACTTGAATATATACAGCGCAAACAGCAGATCTGTTTTTTTCCAATGAAATCACAAGTTTTAGGCCAAAAAAGCCTCACTGACTGTAGTCTTCACATCGTTAGTACAGCGCAGGAGCTGCTTGGCAGCTACTGGGCCAGCAAGTCACATTTTAGTATATTTTTTTTACGCACAAACATAAAAAACAGGCTCTGCATGTAAGAAAGTTACTTCATGTAGAGTAGAAAACTCATGCAGTATTATTCCTGTTAGCGCTAGCATTAGCTCATTCACTGATTTAACCTGCGTTGGTGTAGCGCCCAGCCTACTCCCACTTAGCTCTGCCACATAAACATTTCAGGTGGGAATAGCAGCTTTTATTTTATAATAAAACAGGTTTGTAACAAGGTTAACACTCGACAGATCTGTTTTTCTGTGATGAAATCACACGTTTTAGGCCGAAAAGCCTCACTGTAACAGGAGTCTTCACGCCGTTAGTACAGCACAGGAGCTGCTTGTCGACTATTAGGCCAGCAAGTCATCACATTTTTAGTCAATTATTATTTTTAATATAGTTAAGGGCGCTACAGAAAGTGGGAGAATGTGATTTGACTGGATCTCTATGGAGTTTACGCTTCCATTTTTTACGCACAAACATAAAACACAGCATGTAGGAAAGTTATTTTATGAAGAGGATGACACTCATGCAGTATTATTCCTGTTAGCGCTAGCATTAGCTCATTAGCTCATTTACTGGCTGAACGACTTCCCCTAAGACTAGAGCAGTTTGCGTTCTCAGTGGCTGCTGTTCAGAATGTAAAGTAGCTAAAGAAATAAACCGAGTGCTCTATTTTGGCTCAGTGTCAGAGCCAAGTTCTTTATAGGATGATATCACTAGATATTTGCAGTTTGCATCACCTCACGAAATGGCTGTGGGCGAGGCTGGACTGGAAGATTGGCGATGAAAAAATAGATGCAGTTAGCAAGCTAGCTAATTTGCTAACTGACTTGTGTGCAGCTGCATATAGCCAACAAGCTAAATTTTGAGTGAAGTTACGCTGGCGAATGCATGACTGAGTCTTAATTGTCAAATTTTGACAGCGTCAACTATTTTCATTACACCAAATGGGTAAAGAGACTCAGATGAAGATCGCTATATTTTCCTATTTGAGATCATTACATGGTACACCAGCCCCTTATCACAGTATTTTCTCATAGTGCTCTAATGTGTGATCCCTGAGGCATCTTTACTCTGTTAGCTTCAATGGCTGTGCAGAAAGGGGCAGCTGATTGCACTCTACTGATTTTCCATATATTTACAAGCACTAAATCTTACGGCTGTTGCGAAGGAAATAGGTTTGAGCTACAGTTTGCGGCTTGAAAGTTTTCACGAAGGCTGAATAGAGAAATACCGACATAACAAATGAATGCTGTTAGAATTACTTGGGCCAGCCCTATGCAATACGCCAGACTTTTTTTTTTTTCTTTCAAAATTTGCTTTCTTTTTACTTTTGAACAGCAGAAATCTGTGTGGGATCCTCGAAAGACTGTAATTTGACTACTAGTTTGACTGACCTGTCTCGTAGTGATTGTAGTATTAATCCAGAATGGATTGTAATTACAGTGAGGAGGACGAAGGTGGTATGAATTGTAGTATTTTGAGATATCAGTGTTGATTTCGATCTAAAATCTCACAGATTTCCTCCCCGACAGTCCCTCGGCTCCCTCTCTCTCTCAGTATCCACCCTGAGTTTCTGTCAGCGTGAGCACTGTATTGCCAAAACTCTGGTCTTTATTGGTTTTCCTTTGTGAAAGCATTGCAAAATACTTAGATTTCTATGTGTATCATATATATATATAAAGGATATAAATATATATATAAATAATATACATATTACATATAAAATAAAAAACCTAAATGAAGAACTCTTCTTTCTGAGGTGTTCTCTCCATCACTTAATCAACAAACACATCATAAATTATGTCCGACACACATGAAAAACACAGTTCTGGTCAAGGTGCTGCCTTTCTTTGCCTTACGGCAGCTGAGCAGATGATCCTGGGTGCTAAACTTGATTCAGAGCATCTCTCTATTCACTCCACTCCACTTTTCTGAGATCTAGTTTTGGGCAGAAGACAAATAAAGGATGCAAAGCGGGAGTTCTCGGCCTTGTCCCCGTCGTGCCTCGTCCAGGCTGGTGGCAGATGGCAGCCCGGAGGCCTGTGAATGAGTCAGGCTCTCAGAACAGCAGGGGTGTCCCCATTTCCACTGGTCCAGTTTGCCTTTTTCTATTAATGGGCCCATATCACACTTCTTCCTTGCATTTTATTTGTTTCCCGTAAAGGTCTGCGTGTGATCTTGGTGGGATTTTATGCACCACATCATGTTCATTTTCTCTATAAATTAGAATAAACTGGCTGTTCTTGTTACTGTGCCTTCAAAACTGATACGCTTGCAAACGTTTGAACACCTCCAGTCAAAAGTTAACACATCCTCTAGAGAAAACTACTTAAATATGACATTTTTTCCTGCGTATTTTAGTGTGCAGTTTCTGATTATTTGTGACTTTCACATATTGGAAAAAAATATTGGTGCCATAACTTTGTGTAAAATTTTTTCTCCCAATATGGTAAATTCAGAAAACAGACAGTGACTACGCTTTAAAATGTGTTAACTTTTCACTCACGATGTCTTGACCGGGGGCGCCAAAACTTTTGCACATGACCGTAAACGACCTCTGCTCTGATTGGCTGCCCTGCGTTCAAAAAGCAGTCCAGGCTGAAACGCTGCTCCTAACTCTTGAGTGCGAATGGGCTGAGCTTAACTGCTGTAGTACTGCTGAATACATGTAGATGAGTTGATTTTTATGACATCACAAAAACGATGATTTCAAAACGCCCTGTTTTTTGCAGTGTAGTTTCCATATATGGACAGGAAAGTATGTTTTAACAATGTTTACGTACTAAATCAAACTTTTCCACGTCAGAAAAGTGACACTGGCCCTTTAAAACTGGTCCGGGTTTGGACGATCTGGATCGCCAGTATAGTTGCAGCTCTGCGTTCTTCATAGGACGTGTTGCCTTTTACATTCAATCTGTAGTATTTCACTCAAACAGGCTTTTCAGCAGTGGACAGTAATGCAGTACATATACTTCATTACTGTACTTAAGTACTTTCAGACCTATTTCCATTGTTTTTACTTTCACTCCACTACTTTTTAGTTCACTACTTTCTCCAAGAACTAGGTTTTCCATAATGTATGAACCATGTAAGTTGAACCAATCATAGCGCATTTTCACTAAATCCCTCCTCTAATTATCCTATCATAGCTTAGCTACTGTAACTAAGCCTGGGCAGCTACGCACTGCAACTAATGAAATCTTAGCAAGTGAAGACATAATAAGTGGTAGTCAATATATCTAATATTTCTTATTATGAGGTTGTTGTAAGAATATTATTAAACTTAATGTATTTAAAAGTACTTAGTATTTAACTTTATTTTTTTACTTGATGCAAGTCGTTTTATCTTATGAGTTTTATTCCATTAATCTGCCAATGAAATTTTATCTTATGAACACTCATGAGATAAAATGACAGTCATAAAGTAAAAAAAAAATATTATTTTGATTGATTATTGTTTCTCAAAATGTAAAATCACAAATCAGTCAATAAAATAATTTGAAACAAGTAAAATATTTCAAAAGGTATTTAAAAATGTTTAAATAGTCTTACAATATTCTTACAACAATCTCATAATGAGATTTCAGATATATTGACTACATTTAAGATGTTTTTACTTGCTAAGATGTTGTTTTTTTTGGTGTGATGAGCTTCAGAATGAAAGAAAATGCTGTAGTGTTTTGCGAGGTATTTTTAATTTCCAAGAGTTTGAACGGGGGTCATCAAATGTGTTCACAGTGGTGGTGATAGGAACCAGACGTCCACCTCTAAAAGCTCCCTCACAGAAAGTTACTACATGGAATGGTTATGAATTCACTGCCTGATGTCTGAGACACTGTTTAATGAGATTTTTGAGAAGGTTTTGGCCTAAAATGTATATATATTTTAAGTCTATTCAAGGTGGAGGGATGCATGCAGGGTGTTATGATGCAAAATAGTCCCCAAAGAAAACATTTTTATTGGATTTTCTACAATTTTCCATCATCAACATTCCATATAAAAGCTCAGAAGACTCGTGTAGGTTCACTGGTGGTTTTGGATGGTAAATAAAATGTCTATATCTGTGTTGTAGTCATGGCGATCCCTGGTTCCTATCACCACCACTGTAAAGACATCTGAACCATTTCACACCAAACCACTCTGAATCACTCTGTTTACATCTCACACACTTATGCAGACAGTCGAAAACATAAGTGGAATTAACTTTTAGGTGCATTTAAAAGCAAATACACCAATTGTGTGCACCTGTTTTCAGTCCTGAGCTACAGTCTTCCTGTGTGTGGTCAGACATGAGGTCTAACGAATGGTACTGAAAGTTTCTCTCAGCAGTAAGTAATAATGTTTACGCTTCCCATGTTTGCACAGTCGGTATTATCCTGTTGAAAGTGTTCTGTATAGGAAAAACTGTTGAAAACACTTTATGTACATACAGTGATACTTTATATCCTCAGTGCATTAAAAACAATGTAAATATCTACTTAATTTTTTTTTGAGAATGAACGGTACTATTTATCTGAGTGCAAGGTTTAAATATTTATCGGGAGTGACTCAATATCCACACAATTATACACATTCGTCTTAATCATATGTAATTTTCTCATACACGTCCATATTGGAGACGACGGTACTGCAGTCTGTGGAGTCTATGTAGGTTCCACTCAGTTGAGACTGTATCTGTTCCCCGAATCAAACTAAATTGCAGAAAACCTCAAAAAGTTTTTTTCTACCAATCTAATCAATATCAGACTAGGCCAGTGGTCAACAAAAATCTAACCACCTTGGGAGCCACAACACTTAATGTCCATTTTACCATCTTGGCTGTAAATATGACTCAGTATGTGTTCTGATGTTCTAGTATAGGATAAAAAAATATAGTATAAATGAAAACACAGACTTACTTTGCTCTGCTTTAAGGTTTAGCTCAGCTACAGCCGCTTTTCTCGCATCTCCGGCAGGAAACTTTTCTGCAAAATTGGAAGTTTCTTGTGAAATGTCTCTCAATGTTTGATTTTTACGAGGCTGAAGTCGCTTCTCATTCACTAGATTCTTGTTTGAATCTTCCCGTTCCACCTTAAATGGTGGCTGAGGAGAATGTAACTGCTGCACGATTAAAGGTGGAATTCGAACAAGAAGCTGCTGAACAAGAAACTGACTTTAGCCTCGCAACTTTTTAGTGTTTGAGTTTTTCGTTGCAGATTAAACGTATCAGGAAACCAGCTGGAGTGATTATAAACGCAAATAAGTCCATTCATCTCCAAATGATCAATGTTCGTCTTAAATCTCTCTCTTTGCCGTTTCGTTAGCTGCTAGCTAGGTGAGACTGGTGTCTGTGTTGCTATGGTGACCAGCAGTCTGCGCTGATCTTCAGGGTTAAAGGGTGAATTAGCAGTTCTACATTAACTCCAGAGTTTAAGACCATTTATTGTTAAACTGTGTTGAACGATCAGCAGAGCTTTATTTTACTGTAAAGGAGGATTATTTTATTATTACCTACTAATCTAATTCTGCTGTGGAGCCACAACAGGGCAGTAACAGAGCCGCAGGTTGCCGACATCGTGAATTAACTTACTACTGATCATCATTTTGATGCTCATTCTTAAAAAAAGATGGTTCTTCAAGGGTTCTTTACTAAAGGAATGGTTAGATATAGAACCGTGAACACTCAGAGGCCTTTGCATGATTAAGGGATTCTTTGGATTAATGGAAAATGTGCATGAATGTGCTGTAGATGGTTCTACATAGAACCTTTTTGAAAAGGGTTCTGAATAGCACCCAGAAAGGTTCTACTGTTCCAGGCTTGACACCAAAACAGTAGAAGAACCTTTTTGGGTGCTATATAGAACCATTTTCAAAAACATTCTATATAGAACAACACATTCTCCATCAGTCTGAAGAACCCTTCATGATGCGACGAGCCCTTTAATCATGCAAAGGGTTCTTGGAGTGGTCACGGTTCCACATAGAGCCATTTACTTCTCTGAAGAACCCTTGAAGAACCATCTTTTTTTTAAAAGTGTAGGCCTTAAGGAAGGTGGGTTAGACCTGATGAAAACTTTGCTCTAAATGTAGCCACATGCTACAGTTATACACAGCCTCGTTTAAGCAGCCGGGTGGAGACATAGCAGAAAACAGCTGTGGATCAACAACTAATTTTCTACTTGAATAGAAATCACACACATCAAAAAAATGTCTGAATTTATGGTGTTCGCTGGTAACACTGGCTGTGTTCACATGCAAAGATTTTTGCCGATCTGATTGAATACATTCTGATTACAGATTCAGTCTGTGGTGTTTATTCTCACTCTACTCCACAATCTGATGGAAAATCTCTGTTTACATTCACACTACAAGTAATCAGATCCAAAATGATGAGCATGTGTAGAGAACCGCTTAGTGTGGACGTTACCATGACAGCGAGCATCACGTGAGTCCAGTCAGAGTGAGATGAGCAGCAGTGAGCAGCGCTTGTGTTTTTAACAGCTTTAAAATGACGTCAGACTCAGGAAAACGTCCTTCACATGTCCTTATTAAAGAAGGCCGAGAGGAAGACATCGTGTTCTGAGACACATAAGCTGGACGTCCGTCCCACCGCCGTCTTTTAAAGATCGGAGCATAAACTTCGTCTCCTCTGCAGACCAGTTTCTGCTCCGCCATGTTGAACGGTATAAACTTTCACTATGACGCGACGAACATGATCAGAACGGACTTAAACTTTCTGATAGGGAATGTAATCAGATACAGGTGTTTACACAGATATTATTCTTCTATTTAACGGATTATTTACAGGATTACCCACCTCGATCAGTCGGATAGAAACTGTATTCCGAATGGCCTCAATCAGACTAGACTATTCCGATTGAGCTACTAGTTGGATTAGTAACGGATTATTAGGCTGTGTGTCAACGTGGCTATTGACTGATTTTCTGATTAGCCTCTAGCAGGAGTTATCAGTTCTGGTTAATCTAAATACTTCTGTCCAATGACAGGCTGTTTTTTTTTCTTTTTTCCTTTATATTCAAAATTGTATATCAATTCCAAAATCTTATTCTCTGCTCATTTTGCTCTTGTGTTATTGTTTTGCTCCCCCGTGTTGTCCAGAGGAGTATGGGTTCCCCTTTTGAGTCTTGGTTCCTCTCGAGGTTTCTTCCTCTTGTTTTTAGGAAATTTTCTAGCCACTGTCACCATTGGTGATGCTTATGGGGACTTGGATTTTCAAGCAGTAAAGCTGCTTATGCCTGTTGTAAAAAGC